ATGGATAATATTTGACTTTTATTTATCCATCTATAATTAAAAAAGTAAAAAATATTCTATCGAAAGTTGGTGTCCATTTAATCCTTCATTGATAATATTATACACTTTTTTTTACTTTAGATGTGTACACCCTGGAATTCTTAAGAACGAGTTGTAAATCGGATATGGTAAAAGATGCTAAGTGAAATCGGCAGACAAGTTGGTATCCAAACAGTACGAAGGAGGCAGGCCGATATGGGAAGCTGGGTGCGGAGAATAAGGAACATGGTCTGAGAGCCGGGATACCAAGACGGTACGACGATTATGATAACCCATAGGTCGCGTAAACATTACAAAAATCGATGAAGGGACATTATGCTTGAAGGTTGTGATGACGGAAGTTAGAAACCCCTCTTGATTGCTGGAGCTAGAGGGTCACTACTCAATGAATGTGGAGATTGAAGATTATAGTACAAAAAGGAACTCCCCATGGAAAGGAAGGGAGGACAAAAACGATAACATACAAAGTTACAGGAAGGTCGAAATTGTGATTTTTGTTGTGACCAAGTCGAAAATTTTCTTCATGCTTTGCAAGATTGTCCGATTGTTATGTCTCTATGGTCAAACATGGTTCATCCGAATTTGCGAGAGAATTTTTTCTGGAAGTACTCAGCAACGGAGAGACTATAATATGAGGTGTGAAGTTAGGTTGTATCATGAGGTGGAGTGAAGGAGTCTTTCGGAAGCAACTTGTCATTTAGCTTGGAGCTAGAGAAATAAAGAAAGGCATGGTGTGGATTTTGTTAGACATGTTGCTCCAGTTTTGCTAGTTATGCAAAATGTTAAAAGTTAGGAGTTAACATACAAAGCTTTGAGGAGCAAAAGCAAAAGTAATCGGGTAGAACATCACATTACTTGGAAATCTTCACTGGTGGTATAGATAAGGTTGAACACAAATGGTTCATGTCGACACAATGGTAATATAGGATGTGGAAGAATTAATAAAGGAAGTGACGTTGAATGGATAAGTGGTTTTGCTAACTCAGTTGTCCATGGGAATGCATTTTTAGCGGAGCTTTGGGGAGTAGTTGAAGGTCTAATGTATGCAAGAAGGATAAGTTTCTGCCGTGTAGAGTTACATACGAATTCGTTGGTGGTAGTGAAACTAATAACATCTAGATGCAGTGGTAGTGTTAGAAGGAGAGCTCTTGTTGACAAAATTCATCGGCTTTGGATTAGGAAGTGTTGGTTAAGCATATGTACTAAGAAGCAAATTAATGTGCGGATGCTTTAGCAAATATCGGGTGTAACATGGTTAACTGTTGTGTTTATATTGATGTTTGTCCTAGTCAAGTTAAATATCTCGTGTTAGCTATGTGGGGAATCGATACCCCATAATATAGGTGTTCGCAGGCCGGTTTGCTTATGTTTTGAGAGAATTTGATATCCAAACCGATAAAAAAATATATGGTTTGGTTTGGATTTTCATATTTTTTCAATAAAATACAAAAACCGAACCAAAGCAAGAAATAACAGATTGGTTTGAGTTTGATTGATCAGATACATTAAAATCAAATGTGTAAAAATATTTTAAAATAATATCTATTTTACATCAATTAATTTTCCATAATAATAATAATATTAATTTAAATTTTTTGTTTCTTCATGTAGATTATAAATGTCAAAAATAACGTTTCATTATCTTCGAGTTGAATATCTTATATCAGTTTCTATAAAATGATTATATAAATATGAATTTATATTGTTGATTCAAAAGATAGACGAGTAAATTTTTTAAAATTTATTGTTCAAATTAATTAACATTAAGTTTTATTAATTTAATTTAATTTTTAGCCGAACTAAAAACATATCAGACCAAATCACATTGATTTAGTTTAGATTTTAATTTGATTCAAATTTACCCAAACTAATAAATACATGTAACTTCTAGGATGATTCCGATGTATTTTTTTTCTTTTGGACTTAAATTCTCTGATAAAAAAAAATAGAGAAAGTAGAAACAATACATTACTATATTTATCAATTCAATCAATGAAAAATACAAAAGCAACCTCCATTGTAATATTAATCATCGATCTTTTGGTCGCACTAAAAATAATGTAGATTACTTGGTAATGACATTTCACAAAAGGGTTTGAAATGTATTAATCAACACTTTCATTGGGATATCATATAGACAACGAGGATTATCTTTTTCTTGACGATGTATTAATCAACCCGACATTCATCGCAAACTATGAAAGTGTGATCCATCCCAAATAATAAAAGGCTTACAGCATAATTCCAGCCAAACTGGAAATATCTAATTAATAGTGATATCATTAAAGTTGTCAAACAAGCTCTAAATTAATAGAGTAAAAGCGTATCCAACTCAAATTAAAAAGAAGAAAGAGCTCAATTCAAACTCACTATTATGATGGGAGGGTTTTAATCATTTTTATAAAGATTTGCAAAATTTTAACCAAATTATAGATCGAAGATGAGACAAAAAAAATTAAGAAATATTTACTTACTAAAAATTAGAAATATCAAAGAAAATATATAAAAATATTTACTTATTATTATTATTATTATTTTAATAATTACTTATTAGAATTGAATATGGGCTTACACATACTTATTTCAATTAATAAATACTAGTTGAGCCATCTTATTTATACGAGATAAAAAAATTAAAATATTGAATTTTGTAATAATTAGAACACGTTACTTTATAAAATAATAATTATTTTTTTAAAATAAAAATAAGTGAACAAAAATTAATTATTTATCTATTAAAATAAACTATTATCAAACTACTAATAATATCATTCACTTAAAAAAATTACATATATAAAAGATTAAAATAATAAAAATTTAATCTCTTAATTTTTATTTTTGATAATCACTTATATTAAAAAACACAAAAAATACTAATTCAATATAAAAGGAGAAGGCTGCTAACAAGAGTCTAAAAAACAAAACAAAGAGACTACAATCCTACCTACATCATTGGATTGACGAACCACTTCTCTTTATCAAAATCACCACTATTTTTAGACAAAATAAACATCCAATCTCACTATATCTTCTTAATAAAAAGCAAGATACCAATACCATTTCAAATACCTTATCAAAAATAACTTTATTTCTACCATTCCATACATAATTTAAAAAACACCAATAGATCAACAATTTAATCATTCAATTAATTCACGCTACTTAAATCAAATGTTATCAAGTATCAAATTCTCATTTGATATTTTTCAATTTTTATTTTTTCTTTCAGCTCCCTCACTCTTTCATTCACATCTCATTCTTCATTCAAATTAAATTTATTTTTCTTTTATATTTTTTCTCTTTTCATTTCATTATTTTATCTTTTATATTTAATTATTTTATTTTCTCCTAATTATTTTAATATACTGAAATATATAATTATAGTATATGACTATCATATAAAATATTTAGGTTAAAATTATAGTTTTGATCTCTCTATTTTGGTCAACTCGTGAAATCAATTTAAATATTTTTGGTCCTCTATGCCAATTTTTCGTCTAAAAAAATATTGTGTACTATTTTTTAAATACGTGGCATATTTTTATTAATTTAACATAAGAAAACTTAATTATTCATTGTATTTTCGACGATATGTTCTTTCTTTAATCATTTTCTTTAGTCATTTGTAATTTATTTTGACTTTATTATACATTCCAGATTTATTCATTTATATATGAAATTTTTATACTATTTTATAAGCGTGCAGTTTAATTTATATAAATTAAATATAATAATATAATTATAATAAATTATCAATCACATTAATGTATCTCTAAAATAATATAAATAATTAATATTTAATGTAAATACAAAAATGTATCTGCCTATTCTATCTAAAAAGAATATAAAGATGTATCTTTTAATTAATTTATGTGAAAATAAACGTGACTCAATTAGAAATACATAATTGTGTATGGTGAATCTCAAAGTTAATCTCCAAAATGAATTTTGGGAGAAAAGAGGACAGTACTTCTCAATTTTAAATAATATCTTTGAATTTCCATATTGTATTTCTCTACCACTTAAGATAAAAGAAGCAATTCCTACATATAATAAGATTTAATAGCTTTTGCTTCTCTCCATAAGATCATCTCTAAATTTTCAACTCGATTAATACTTTTTCACCAACAAATTTTTTATTTTTCATAATTTTTTACAATCAAATCAACAATAAATAATATTATAAAAAAGATAGATTAACTCCTTCTTTTAAAAAAAACAATGCTATACATATAAATTTAATATTGTTAGCAATTTTTTTAATATCCATAACTTTACAAAAAACATATATTTAAAGAGGAGAAAATATTTGATAAAATCTTCCGTTTTTCTCTGTTCCTTTTCATTTTTATTTAGACACCGTCTCCAGCAATAAACCTTAATACATTTTAAAAGTGAAAATCTTTATTTTTGTTTTGACATTGATTATGAGGGTTTTTTAATTAATTTGAGTGAGAATTATTTTGTGAGAGTGAAAAATCTCCACTATTTCAAAATTACTTTTATTATTTATAGAAAAGTTTCTGTTATTTAATAAGAGTTATTATTTTCGGAAATTAATAACCCCACTAAATATTTGAAATGAAAAAAAGAGACGAAATATTATGCTAGCTTATTTGAGAGACCTTTTTGTATTGAGCATATACTAAGCCCCTTTAATGTAACAATCTTTATCTTTATTCTTTACACGTCAATGATGAGAATATCCGTCATTCTTCCACCACAATCAGAAAAATAAAATTAAGTCATATAAAAGACAAAGCAAAGTCAATCGATACAAATACAACAACCAAAAACAACTTCAACAAAATCTTTAATTAAAATTGCTACTAATAATTTACATAGAATTCAACAATTATATTCTCTCTTCGTTTCAAAATAACTAACTTTTATCTAATATATTTATAAAGTGTAATGTCTTAGGATAACACAATATTTTAAAACGAAGACTAATTAATAGACTATAAATAAAAAATAATGAAAGTGATAACTACAAAAAATATAGACATGGAAGTTGAAAATGGTTGGCTTATTCTTGTAGAGCCTCCTATAGCCAAATTGGCTATCCAAGATTTTGTAGCTACTGCTGCTTGTTCTACCGATGTTCTTGGCCCTGACTCCATCAAAGATTTCAAACTGAAAAAAAAAAAAAAAACAACAATCACCTTCAATTCTATGTCTTAGTCATGAAAATATCTTATCGTCTGAATCGACACAACACTGTCAGAGTGATAATAAATTAAAAACACGTGACAACATGAGACACATTTGTGGAAAGGTGATATGATGACACAAATGAGTCTAAATAGAATGGAAATGAGAGAGGATAATAGAAAAAGTGGTTGATGACATGGTGAAAAAGTTCAAGAGTTACATAAGAAGAAAAACGTGAAAAATAAATCAAAATGATATTCATCTTGTTTGAGAACTTTTGTTTTACCTTGGAGAAGAAGAAGGACAAAATGTGAGAGTATAATCAGCAGCAGCAGTACAGGTAAAAGTGCTCGTAGCATCATCAAACGCGTAGCTATAAGATTTCGGACAAGCAGCTTTAAACATTTCCGAATAAACCGACGGCGAACAGCTCGACGGTGAAGCAAACGCGCCACTACAACAATACTCTGGGCTTCCAAACGCGCCACACGCGCTATTACACGCGTCACCACCATCCACTCTCAACTCCGACGGACACCTTCTATTAAGATCCTCTCCGCAGCCAGTGGCTTCACACAAACCCGAACCGCCGCTGGCTTCAACTATCATCGGGAGATTGTAACCGTCGACGAGACTAACGTCGTAGTAATCGGCGGAGGTTGTTCCTAAGGTGAATTCCGCTAGTGTTGCTGGTGGTGTTGCGCCGTTTCCGTTGCAGTTGATTTGGCCGGAGCCACAGTCGCCGGTTGAGCAAGCTCCGTAACCGGCATCGTCGAATTTGCAACCGGTTCTTGCCCAGAGTCTACCGGACCAGCCGGTTGGTGCTTGGAAGGTTTGTGTGTTTCCTCTTTTGAGTTCGAAACCGGTTGTTCCGAGATCCGGTTTTCCTAGAATTCCTGGCCATACCGTGTGATCGCATTTGTTGATGAACGTAAATGTAGTCGCTGAAATTTTAAACCCTGCATAATGAGCAAAATTTCACTTATTCATATTTAAAATAATAAACTTCATTCGCTAAATTACTGAACAAATAAAATAAATATATAATAGGAAACAGACCTTTGAAAGCTAGGATAAGTAGGTAAATGAAGAAACAGTTTGAAAATTGTTGGTGGAGTGAGAACAGAGGCATATTTGTAAAAATGGGAGCAGAGGATTTTAGATGAAATTGGTGGTGGGGGGAATTTGAATGCTAGCTCATGCATTGGTATATATTGGCGTTTAGAGGGGATGTGAAGTGAATAACCTTTTCATGAGCTTGTCATCTACCAATTTGTCAGTGCTTTATTTGTTTACTTTTTATATCTATCAAGAGTAGTTCTATAAAACTTTTTTAATTTTGTCGTATGCTAAAGACGGAAGTCTACTAAAAATTTAACTTATATCAAAATGATAAAATATAAATTGACTGGAAGTTAAATATCATATCTAATAAAAACTTAAATAGTACCAGAATGTTGACACTTATATTTGTTTAATTTATTAATTGACCATAGAAATTAGGAGTAATAAAACGGATCTAACATATTCAATATGTCTCTTTTATTCCTATTTTAGTGTGGAGTGAATTAAGATTTTATGATTGCATCTCTAATTTGTTTGCGCTGATCCGTCTTGTTTTTAAGTCTGCACTATCAATTATATTTGTTCGATCTAATTCTGTTTTTGTAGGTTTTTGTAAGTTTTTGTAAGATGGGCATATTTATTTATTACCCTTAATAAATATCGAGAAAAAATTTAATATTCTTTAACACTTTCATGATAAGTATTTTTTAATAGATAAAAAAAAAAGAAGAGAGTTGAATGTGACCACCATAACAAGACTTTTAGTCCGATGGTTATGGTGCTTTGGGAATTAGAATGTAGTATTTTAAAAAAATTGAGCACTTCAACATTTAGGTAAGTATTGCAAGTGATTTTACCTGATCAGACTTGAACCGTCACGACTGATTCTGGGCAGAATTTGAGTGAGATGGGTGGGGGGTATCTGCAAGGCACTCCGATGCTAAAATGAGTGACGGAATGAGCAGGCAAAAAGTGTATGTACGCGTAAGAGATGAATACTTGACCCTCTAGGAACAGAAGGTATTTATAGCCCCCAGCGCGGGGCCAAGGTCCCCTCATTGGACCGACCAGAATTGGCCCAATAAAGGAACTGCCAGGTTCTACGTGTGTAGTGGGGACCCGCACGTGTCCCCCTTCCTGGTGATGCTCTGCGAGAAATGAGGAGGGACGAAGATGCAGTCTTTCTGGAGTTTAGATGATTTGGTAAAGGTCAGAATCTGCCCTACGAGGAGGGTGCTCGAGTTGGAGTTCTCGTGGTCGGGGACACCATGTGTTGCGGGCAACGGCGGGCACGGCTGTAGTCTATGGTTGGGCGCGCTGGCGGGAATCCGTGGGCGCGCGTTCCTCGAGGAGCTGCTTGGATTGGACCTTTGTTCTTGCTTTTGGGCCAGGGCGGGCCCAGTCCAGAACAGGAGCCCCCCCAAGTCGTGGCTCATGGAGCAGGAGTTATGACTTGACTTCAGCTCGCCTTTGCCACGGGGTCTGATGCCCGACCTAGGATATTTGCTTCCCCGTGATTGCTCGAGAAGTTTCTCATGAGTTGCGTTCGTAGTGTAATCCTCGTCGCTGCGTGCTCGGGGGATTCCTCGCGGACTGTGTTCGTTGGGTACACGAGGCAACCCTTGGGAACCGTGACGCCACCCTAGCGATAGTAGGGCCATCATTGCCTAGGGGAGTAGGCGTCGAGGAGGGGAAGTTCGTGGTTCCCCGGGGCGACGTTTCGTATTCCAGATCATCCCTATAAATAGGGTCCTTGGGTCCCATAATTTGTTTTTCCTCTTCGCGCATCTCCTTCTTCCTCTGCCTTTTCCGCCGCTGTTCTTCTACAACTTCGCAAGATTACAGCACCTTCCTCCGTCGATTTCTTTTACCACTGCCGTACATTCTTCTTTACTTCCAAGTAAGCGTTTATCCCTCGTATTTTTCTTCGTTGTAGGTAGTTTTACCGTTATTTGGATGTTAGAAACCCATATATGGGATTAGTGCCCGGTACATTCATATTTGTGCCCGGTACATTCATGTTTGTTCCCGGTAAACCCATAGTTTTAGGTATGTGACTCGCGATGCTTCCCGAGACCTTCATGGTTTTAGACGCATAATCTATGATACTTCCCGGTAAACCCATAGTTCTAGGCTTAGGATTCATGATATTGCTCGTCACATTCATAGTTTAGGTCGGCGCACCCATGAGCTGGCCGGGATGTTGATCCATTAGGAAGTAGGTAGGACAACTCGTCGTGGCACCTTAGCGTCGGGGAGGCGAAACCAGGATCTTGCTCGATTCCTCAATGTTTTATCGCGCGCAGAGCGTGCCTTGGCTTGTCGCGCACTACTTCCCATCAGTTATGGCGAGCATATGGATTTGCTCTCGAATTTCACCAGTTTCCTGTGCTTTGTAGGTAAATGGCTGACGAACCGGAGCCTTCGAGGCGTAATGAGGTCGAGGACCAAAGTGCCGAGGAGAATGTAACTCTAGTTGATACCGTCGATGATCCTACGTTGGATTGGGTGGGTGCCGAGCCCCGAGGGATTGCCTCGGCATATAGTCGGCGTAGTCGGCACGCATACACTATCGTCGAACACGGCGGTAGTCAGCCGGGTTTCCAGAAGAATTTTGTTGTGACAAGGTCGTCCCTCGACGCACGAATCTGCTCGGAGTTCTCCGAGTATGGGTTTCAAATGTATGAAATCGCGTTCAAGGATCTTGGCCTTAAGCTCCCTTTTAGTGACTTCCAAGTCGGGGTATTCTGCCATCTGGACTTGGCCCCCTTGCAGCTTCACCCCAATTCGATCGCCTTTTTTCGGGCGTTTGAGCTGACATGCCGCTTCTTGAGGATCGGGGCGACCATTCCTCTTTTCTTCAGAGTTTTTCACTTGCAGCGCCAGTCTCGAGGAGGTAGGCATAGCTGGGTTTCCCTGAAACAGTCGAAGAGGCTGTTCAGGATGTACATGGACTCGGTCCAGGGCTTCAAGGATAAATGGTACGTCCTGCAGCCGGTCACCTAGACAACTTTAGATTCTATGTATGAAGAGGAAACCGCGGTGGCCAACGAGAACGGGGAGCCTCTTATGGACGCTGAGGGTCGCCTGATGGTGGGGCGTGTATCCAAGTTCCCATTGCATTGGTGCTCGCGCCATTACGAGCATGGTACCAGGCACTACCATACGCCCGCGGGAGGAATGAGTGCTGAGGATGAGGAAGCCTACGGTACCCTTTGCAAGTATGTCAATAGCTTCTTCCCTGCCCGGTGGGTCACGAGGGAGGGGGGAAGACATTCTTGACGAGGAAGGTTATCCGACATTCGAGGCCCGTCCTATCGATACCAAGGCGCTTGTCGAGTGCCAATCCTACGGGCAGGCCATAGATCTACTAGGTTGCTTTTTGCCTTATAGTTTTGTCAGTTTCTTTGTTTGTTACTTGCTCGTAACTAACCAGGGTTTTCTTCTTTGCAGGCGATATGGCTGAACGAAGGGAGAGGCTTTTAAAACTGTCTCAGGACAAGAGAGTAAATAGAAGGTTGGTGCGAGCTCCACAGGCCACGAGGATGGGCCCGCCGACCAGTTCAGGCGATGCTTCTAGCGGGTCCCCGGGCTCTCCTGATGTCGAGCAGCCCACTGAGCTGATAACGAGAAAGATAAGCCGGGCAAAGAACCAGTCGGAAGTTGGCGACGAGTCTGTCGCAGTGAGGGCCTTTGGCTTGCCCCCTGTTTTAAAGAGGAAGGTTTCTTCAAGGGGTTTCCCTTGATAGTGAGCCCCGAGGAGGCTGAGACCATCAGGCGGCTCAACAAAGAAAGTCGAAGAAAACACCTGGCCGCCAGTATGGTCGGGATGGTTAAGATGGCCGAGATGGCCGTTGTCCTTGCTGAGGAGGGGTCGGACTCCTCTGACCGCGTCAGGGAACTGGAGTTGGAGAAAGCTTCCCTCGCTGCCGGCTCTCGTAAGTTAAAGGCTGCTCTGGAGCGATCTGAGGAGATGTTTCGCGAACAAGCCGAGCTGCTGGCCGTGGAGAAGGAAAACTCGGGGAAGGTTGCTAAGGAGAGGGACTGTTTTCGACTGGACCGGGAACGCTTGGAGGCTGACAACGAGCGTCTGTCTAAGGAAGTCGAGGAGCTGAAGGCTGCCATGCTTCCTGCTGAAGATGAGTCGGAGGACACAACCCCCTTGCGGAGCCGTTCGGATCTGGTCGCGCGCATCCATCTCCTCGAAACGGACTATATTGGTGCCTTAGTGGACGGTTTTGAGGCCGCGGTTAGCCAGCTTGCCTTATTAAATTCGGGCATGAATATCGAGGGAGTGGGTTTCATGTCTCAGATCATTGACGGCCAGGTCGTGCCTCCTCCTGGGTCTCCTGCCGTGGATGCTGGTAGTCCCAGGGAAGTCTAGCTGTGGAATTTTTGGTCTGGCCTGCGCGCCTGTTTATTGGTATTTTTTTTTGGGCCTGCGTGCCCGTGCATATTTTTGGGGCATGCGTGCCCGTACATATTTCTTTTGGCCGTTGTGCCATAGCCTGTAATTTCTGAATATCGTCGGCCTTTTTGGTCGGTTTATTTTTATTCGTTTTTTGCTTATGAGATTTTAAATGGATGTTCACTTCGACCTTTAAACTTGCTCGTGTCTAAGTTTTTATATTGTGATGAAATTTGCCTAAGTTATGTCCTCGAGTCACGCTTGTGCTCGGCTGTTACTTTGTGGTGAAATTTTCCTAAGTTATGTCCTCGAGTCACGCTTGTGCTCGGCTGTTACTTTGTGGTGAAATTTTCCTAAGTTATGTCCTCGAGTCACGCTTGTGCTCGGCTGTTACTTTATGGCGAAATTTGCCTAAGTTATATCCTCGAGTCACGCTTGTGCTCGGCTGTTACTTTGTGGCGAAATTTGCCTAAGTTATGTCCTCGAGTCACGCTTGTGCTCGGCTGTTACTTTGTGGCGAAATTTGCCTAAGTTGTGTCCTCAAGTGGAGATTCTTTCGACCCATTTGATGGTATGACGCACTTCGAACTGCGTCGGTCGTGCAGAGTAAAGCCCGCTTGCTCGAGCGTATGACCCAGATAGGGGTCGTTTGCCCGTGG